GGATTTCACCGCTTTGCTTGTGGTCTTTGGAGACATTTTTCGTTCATACCTAGCTGAGGGCTTCAACGGACTGCGCTTTCTTATGCATGGCTTAAATAGAGTTGTGCTTTCAATGGCTAGGATACGGCCCATTGACCCCACTTGCAAAAAGGCTGCAATCTTTCCAATCAGAAAACCTTCCATGCCTTGAATACCTCAACACCTGTGCTTTGGAATATGGTTAATATATCTAACAGGGACAGATTAACAAAATACATTAAAACAATACTCTGCATTGTAGTCCATGCTAGTTCTCTGAACTATTCTGGGCTTAAAGCAATGTTCTCCACTTGGGTGTGTTTCTTATGATCTCCACGTTTCACCAAAGATTCCTTAAATGTTATCTTCGGTGGCTGTCAGATTACCTCACTAAAGCATAGAGAGACATATGTTTGGATATTTCCCACCTGTTACAGCCCTTCATTTTGTTAAACCCTGGCATCATCAGGAATCACTCTAAGATCTACTTAAATAGAATTCCAGAAAAGCTAGAAAAAGAGAAAAAATGCAATAATCCTATTCTGTTTCACTAATTCTTTTTCCTAAACTAGCATTTGGAAGATGGGGCTATATATCTAAACCTGGCTTGACTATTATATATTTATAGATCTCCAGATGATTTACAGTAGATTGGGAAAGGTTCCCAACACTCAAACAACTAACAATAGAAACAGTTCAAAAATGTTTTCCACTTAAAATTACACTACCGAAAAAGAATGTTTGGGAGAAAACCAGGAGAGGAAAGAATTATATAGAATAATATGGAAAAAGAAAATATGGAAAATATCCTTTTCCATTCATAACCTGTCTCTGTTGCTCTGTAATCCTCGGGAAACTTTGTTTCTTTAAATATTCATTTATTTTCCTAGAGAGATGTCACTCCCTTTATACAAGCTGGAATAATAATGATGGAATGCTTTTTGTATGGCCGCATTGTCCATTAACACAGTGTCTCCTTCTTGTAATTTCAATATCATGAAAGAATGCTTGGGGGAAAACCAGGAGAGGAAAGAACTTCGAGGCTTGGTTTTTCTAGATCACAAACTGCCTAAACTGAGCATGTGCTCAAAGGCATCATGTTTCTTAATTTGTAGCATATGTCTAACCCCATGAGTATTTTTTACCAAGCTTTGATTCACCTTGCTAATCTAAACAACAACTGAATGAATTTATCTGTGAGCCTGAATTATCAATTAAATAGTACAAAATCTACGCTGACTCGTGTCAGCTCCTATGTTTTCCTTGGCCTGATATATATGTATGCATGGCATTAGTAATGCGAGAGAGATTCAAATATTTTTTTTTCAGTTTTACTTGACTGTTCATTTTCAAAACTGACAAATGCTTGTTTTAATGGTTAGCTGGTGATAACCCAGAAATATGGCTGATAAACAAACTTTAGGGACTAAAATGCATATCGGTGTATAAAAGTGGCAGCAGAACACTCACATACCGTAGTTCCCTCTCCGAAGGAAAAACTATGATTTGCTGTTTTCCAACACAGCAAGCTTTCTTAATCCAAAAAAATAGATAAAAAGTTCAGACTTGAGTCCACATCATAAATAAAGCATGATCTAGAATAACTACCAGTATTATTTATTTGTATACTTTGTTTGCACATAATTAACAATGTGCATATTATATTCTTTTATCAACCTGAAAATATCAAACTGTCGTGTGTATAACCGCTAGATGCTGGTTTTGATACATTGTTTGCCACTTTTGACCAAAATATTGAAAATCACTATATATATATATTGTGTATGTATGTATGTATGTATGTATGTATGTATGTGTGTGTGTGTGTGTGTATACACACATACACTATATATGTTGTATGTATTGTATACATACATACAACATATAGTGTGTATGTGTGTGTGTGTGTGTGTGTGTATAAATAAGGCGTCGGCTTATTTATAAATGCTTTTCCCATTGATTAACTTTGTGCCCTGAGGATGTCGGAAGGATCCGACGAAAGCTTGGCCCCTATGATTGTATGCTTTTAAAAGTTTTTAAGGTTTTTACTAAACTTTTAATTGTCTTATATTCTCCTGGTGTTCGCAATTTTATTCTGTACCATATATAGTGTATATGTATGTGTGTGTGTGTGTATATATATATATAAATAAAGCTAGACCTTTACCTTTTTTTACAATAAATTTATTAAAGTTTACAAATACAAAGATAGAAGCCTAATACAAAGTAAGAAATATATAAAAAGTAAAAGAAAAGGGGAAAAAAGTGCAAAGAGGGGGGAAAAAGAGAAAAGAAAGAAGAAAAGGATTTCCAGGAACAGCAATGACAGACTGATTACTACCCTGCTATTTGCAGAGCCGACAACCATGGTGGAAATAGAGGCTAATGAATGGATCAGCTCCTTGGAATTCCTCTTCAGATTAAGGAGAGGATAAGGATGACCCATAAGTTTCTTCCACCCAGAAATTCCTTGCAAATAGATTATAAAATTGCAATCTCCAGCAGGTTTGAGAACTCTGGAGGCTGGGGGTGGGGGGAAAGAGAGAAATATCCTGTTTAAGAAATATCCTGTGTGGTTCTGTGCCTTTCAAAAAGACATGGGGTTTGCCTGATTCCTCGTTGCTACTTTAGGAAGCTGCTTAATAGTAACTTCTTTCAAGTTAAGAACCTTCCGAAGGGCTAGCTTTACACCATTATGAGGAAAATCTCCTTCTATCCTGGATGAACGAAGCTCCAATGTAAGTTTATGGATTAAAAAGAAAACGCTTTGCTTTTTTGGGAAAACACCAAAAGAGGGACTAGAAAGTGGATTTTGGAAACCTAAGGGGGCTTGATGGTATTGAAATGTGGGCTTTAAATGTTTTTATTAAAGAATATATGAAGATTTTGAAATTAATATGTAAGCAATGTAAGAAAGTTTTGTTGATTGGAAAATAAATAGATGATAAGTGGGGACTTGAAGGCTGATTAGAGGAAACCAGAGTGAACAGACAATTTCATTTAAAGGAGACCTATTAATACAATGGAGCAATACTATTTTATTATAAAGGAAATTAAGGCTGTTTGGGAACAATGTACTCAAAAATTACTTACAATTTTTTTTTGATAATACTGCAGAGGATACAGACAAACAACAAATTTCATTTGGATAAAACAGACTGATTTGAACGTGGATCTGGAGTTTTAAAAATGATGGATTACAAAACTGGTATGGAAAAAATTGTTGTGGATCTGAAAATAGTTTTTAAAATGTCAGAGTAGAAAAATAATGTGGAAAAAGATGCCAAAATAGATTTAGAGATGAAACCAGTTGATTTCTTAAAAATTAAAGGGGTCATGCAAATAATAATCAAAAGAATGATCTGGAAAGTCTTCTTAGCTAGGATTTACAAAAGGAATATGTGAAACTAAGGGACCAACTCACCCCCCCACACACACACACAAGGACAAAAAGAAAATGACAAGAAGTCAATTTATGGACATTACATGTCAGGATTAAAGTTTTTAAAAAGTAAACAGGTGTTCTATGAAATGAATCTATTTCATCGGGGTTAAAATATGTATGTTGTGGTTTCTGGTAACTACTAATAGAATTTCCTTTTGACCAAAACTCTTTGAAAAAGTTTTAAGAATCTGTTTAGAAGCCAGACAAGAATTCTTTTGCTTTATTTCTTAAAGAAAGTGGTAAGTTTGGATTACAAATTGATTTTTTAATTAAGATTAAAATACTGTATATGTATTAATATTTCTGGGAGCTCTTAGTAGAATTTTGCTGATTAGGACTGAGTGGTGGGCTTTTACAATTTGATTATTGATGAGGGACAAAGTATCGCAAAAAATTTTTTTAATTGAAATACTAGAGAAGGTGTCAAGTCATCTTTTATATATCTTATTTATTTTAAAACTAGCTGTACCCAGCCACGCGATGCTGTGGCTCAGTCTGGTTAAATGGAAAAGAAAGAAAAGAGAAAGCACACGTTTGTAATATATCATGTTTTTACCTGTCACAGGTGTGACATCTATATAATAGTAGGTATATAAAAACAGGTGCGTATTCAAATGCAACGTTGTGTCAAAATTTCAAAGCAATGAGTGAAGAACCTTCGGAGATTTAAGATTTTGAACAAACGAACATTTACATTTTTATTTATATAGATATTGCATTGTTATATAACAAACAAGATAAAGGTTCAGTTACTATGACTACAAATTTGCTCTTGGGTTTTCAAAAAAAGAAAAAGAAAAAGAAAAATTAGAGCCATATTCCAACAGATATTTAGATAAGATAGATACGATAACCTTTATTGTCATTTTTTATTGTGGGCACACTGGCACATATTAAAAATGAAATTCTGTTGCCTGCTCTCAAAAGTGTACACGTACATAACACATATATAAACATGCTATATACAACACATGTATATACCTACACCCATACACACACACACATATATATATATATATATATATATATACATATAAATATTAATCACTGTCTTATCTTGAATACATAGCGGAAAGAGGAAGCTTGAGAGTTCACAAGGTTAATACTGTATGGGACAAAACTATGACTGAATCTGGATGTTCTGCTTCGGATACCACGAAGCCTCCTCCCAGAAGGTAACAAGGAAAACAGGTTGTGAAGAGGATGTGTAGTGTCCCAGACAATCCTGCGGACCCTGCTCAAGCAACGCTTATATGGATAAATGGATTTAACCATTTAAAGGTTGGAGGTGATATAAATGTATTACCTTCCCTACTAAAAATCTGCCTCCCAAGAAAAAGAATGTCCCACATGTTAATTTTAAAAACAATTGTGAGGAAAACAAAAGAGATTATAGTCATTACATTATCTTTCCTAAAAATATGATTTTTTTTTACTGTTTCAGCACTGTGATCCTATGAATGGATTGGAGTGCAACTATACTTAATGGAATTTATTCAGCATTTTGCAGCATGGTTTTCCAAGAAATGTCACATACCTGAAATTTTAGCAGAGTCCTGTTCCTTATTTATTTCTCTAGGCAGATTGTCTGGTTCCACGGCTTCCATTTTTGTTGGAATCTCTTGTATTGCTGATAAAGTTGTGTAAGTGCTGATAATTAATACTCCCAAACCAATCCATAGTATGATCTGTGCAACAAAAATTCAGAATCTTGAATGCAGAGATGGACAATTCCTAGCCCCCACAAAATTCCCCAACCTGTTTTGGGGGGTCTTCCCTGACTACTATTACCAAACAGTGTTAGTATTATTATTGTTTTAGCGTTTTGAAGAGGTAACAATTCTCCAGTTTGTTAATAATAAATATTATATAGTTAAGAAACTTCTCCAAGTAATCGTACAAATCAAAGAAGTGTGTGTGTGTGTGTGTGTGTGTATGAAAACCTATGTGTTATTATTCTTCAAAACATCCTGCATTATTGCCCTACTAAACATGGCCCGCAGTCTATCCATTCTTTGATGCCAAATATAAAGGAACGCAGAAGGCAAAATTGGTAGAGGGGAGAGGAACAAAGGGGCTTTGAAACACATTAGAGGCTTGTTCATGGAGAACAACTGGCACCTATTGTATCTTATCTTTAGACTTCTTCAGCATTTCAGCTCTTTGACAATACACACTGTTCCTCTTTTATCTCCCAGTCTTCTTGCCTATATTTTCTTTAATCTTCCTTCCTTATCCTCATTTCTTTCCCTCAAAACTATTTTCTCCTATCCCCAATTGGCTTGCTTTCTACTTTTTATTTCCTGTCTTCTTTTCATTTCTTAAAGTTCTACTACTTCTATCAGCAATTTCCCTCCTATCTCCCTTATAATTTACTATAACCTAAGTAATTCAGCCAGTAGCTGCTGGAGACCATTTTTTTTCTGTCCTGCAACATCTTTGTGATATTAAGCCATCCCAGTCAATTGTATCATAGCCAGAGGATTCTTCAGCACCAGCCAAAAACACCTAGTGCATTATAGCACATATCACATCAAAATTAAATTACGCTTTAAGCTCAACACACTAGCTGCATAATCCAGTAAAAATTAAATAGGGTAAGTGCTATTAAAATAGGGTAAGTGCTATATTAAAATCAACAGGGTCTAAACTCAATTAGATTGGACCGATACTGAAAGAACTCAAGAAGCTAGTCCTGGATTGTACTGAGCTACATTGAAAGGAATATATATTGTATGATACTAAAACAATTATGAAAACGTGCTTTGGACTCTAAGCATCTATCTACTATTTATTAAAGTATAATCATCTTTTTCAGGCTTCCACTGTTTGAATAAGTCAATTAATACAGGTCATTTTAACTGGTAGTAGAACGTTTTTCAGGCTCACACATGCTTTAATGAGCAACAGAAAGATACAACACTCACACAGAATCCAAAGCACATCCGTATCACATATGAAGCATGTGGAATTCTAAACCCCAGTATTGTCCATTTGTCAGCAGGGGAAAAAAACATTTGCAGAACTAACTCTGTCTTTTTGCGATGTGTTGCTGTCAGTTATTTATTAGGCAAAATCATTTAATCTGCTACAAAGGTTTTACCAACTTTGTGATTCTCATTTGAGTAATTATCCAGGCCTCGTACATATGAGTACAGTTATAGCAACATCTACTTAAGTTTTTTGAGAAAATGGAAATTCTACCCAAAAGAGAAGACCGAAAAGAAATCCAAACTTCTTTAGCAACAAAGAAACAGTATGAGATGCAAACAAATATTTTAAGGAAACATATGTATAACAATAAGGTCAGTGTTACATACATACAGTCCACAGTTTATAAAGACAACCCTTAGATATGAATGGAGCTAGATAGATAGGAATGAAAATCAAATTAAAAGATAGAAGAAGGGGACCATCGAGCAAGGAATAAAATTAAAGGAGGATATGGCTGAAGGATCTGACCTTCCTTATACTACTAGGACTCTGAATAGGTTGAGAGTTGGTATGCCTAAGTGTAAAACCAATATGCTCAAGTGGAGCCTCTTAGCAGATAACACCACGCTGTGTGAATATGGAGAGACACAGAGCCCGGCCCATCGGCTACTACGGCACCAGAAACATGTACAGATAATGACTTATTTTTGGTCAACAACAAAGCGAAGAAGATGGCTTCATTCTGGCAGTTTAAAGATTGATCTAGACATGGAAGAAGAAAAATGAGGCTGCTTGTTACAAAATGGAGGATGGCTGGCCTGTTATATCAGGGGTCCCCAACCCCCGGTCCGTGGACCAGTAACAGGCTGCGGCATGCTAGCAACCAGTCTACACAAATAAGCAAAGCCCCATACGCAAGATCCAGGCAGCACACAAAACCACGCACCCTCCGGTCCATGGAAAAACCTCTCTCAATGGAACCTGTCCCTGGTGCCCAAAAGGTTGGGGACCTCTGTGTTATATTACTTAAAACTTATTCAACTTATTGAATATGTGAAAAGTGAAGAGAAGCACACTCTTATACACAGCCCTGTTACTTCTTTCAACATTGATTAGATAAGGGCTTTTCAACCTTTTCACGGATTGTACCACTTTTAGGATATGGCAATATTCGAGTACCACCAGTCACCTAGCAAGGTGTCAAAAACTTGATGACCCAAAAAAAGAAAAAAGGAAAAAAGTGATAAAGTACAGGCAGTCCTCAACCTACAACAGTTCTCTTAGTGACTATTCGAAGTTACAATGGCATTGAAAAAAGTGACTTAGGACCATTTTTCACACTTACGACTGTTGCAGCATCCCCAGGGTCATGTGATTTACATTCGGATGCTTGGCAACTGATTCATACATAAGACAGTCACAGTGTCCCAGGGTCATGTGATCACCTTTTGCAACTTTTTGACAAGCGAAGTCAATGGCCGGGGGGTGGGGTGGTGGCCAGCTCAACATCAGTCAGGTCACGGGACGCCTGTGGGGGGTGGGGGCATTCCTGTTTCTCCAGATATAACTTTGATAAGTTGACAGTTGTGCAACTTGTTCATTCAGTACCTTCCTATTAGGCCACTGTTTTGCTTTGGTAATATTTTCATTTTCCTGAGGAGCATAGCTGTACAGTAATAATTTCTTTTTCATGACTTGAACATCTTGGTTAGTGTGCTATTCACTATCACTCAACTGACTTTGTGGGTGTTTTTTAAAAGCATGGAAAGAAAAATTTCTAAAGTGACGAGGAAAGATTATCAGATTTTATATTCATATTGTATACTTCAGAAGTGTTTCCAACTTTGGCACCTCCTAAAATTTAGTGTTCTAGGTGACTGTCTAGGTTGCTTAGTCTTAGAAGCGGCCCTAATTATAGCATTTCAATTCCATTTTTGACATATTACTATCATTTATACAGATTTCTAATATGTTCCTTCCAGCTTTTCCTCACTTCAGTTTCATCCCACATCATGTCATCATTTTTATTTTTAATTTCACTTACTCTGCTACAGGCTTCTTGCTTGGCCCTTTTCATCTACTTCTAAGACAATATTTGAACTTCCATCAAAATTGCTCTGCATTCTCTCTACTTCTTTTAACTTTAACTGTATCTTTCTCTTTAACAAGATTCTTTGCAACTATCTTTCTCTCTGTGGACATTACACATACTTTTTATCATTCTCTCTTAATGCATTTTTTTCTCACGTACAGCCTCTTTCACTTCATCATTCCACAAAGAATCTTTTTAAAATTTTCAGTAGCATAACTCCACATATTCTCTCACACTTTGTAACATGACTCTTTTCATACTGTTCCAAGCAGTTTACTCATCGTCTTTATCACTGTTTTTCATTAATTATATTCGAAGATTAATTTATTGTGTAATCTTTTTCATACAGGACTTGTACTTTCTTTCTAATTATTTTAACTTTCTTATTTCTTTTACTTTTTTCATTCTCTCACTCATCCTAAACAAACCAATAATGAATCTGGATGTATATTTATTCTTTTGCTGTGTGTATTTGTGAACAGACTTACCACATATTGAAGGAGAGATTTTTCTAAGCAAGAACTCACTAAACAATTATCATTTTCTTTCATTCTTGGGTATCAGAATGGCTCTATACTTTTTTTTTGTATCGTCTTGTCTCGTTCCCACCCATCCATTCATGTCAGCTAATTTTTTTCTCCAAACTGAGTTCATTCAGAATAATACACATTTTTGTTCTTTCCATTATCAATGTTCAATGAAGTGTAACATGTAACTTTCACCACCTATTTCCATACGTAACCATGATAACCTACAGGACACGGAGTCATAGTTTCTAGTATGCTTTTCAGCCCATTTCAGTCTTTCATTCATAATGAAACCCATCCCTTCACTCCCCTATGTTTATTTATCAATCCCCCACACAAGATCAGACAATCTTCATTCAGATCTATTACATCCCGCCCTTTTCTCCTGGCTTCTTTCTTTTTCTTTATATTCCAAACTGCAATCTTCCATATGCTATGGCCATCACTAAATAGGTCCACAGATATCAGGTTTTCACAGTTCACTTATGAAAACTGTAAATTAGATTACAGCCATTCTCTGCTAATGTTAAAATCAACATTTATCAGTTCTGGCATATTTTTACCACCATGCCTCAATCACGACCAATGCCCCAAGGTAACGTAAGGATGCTCACACCAATCAATGAAAAAGTATTCAGCATGTGTAAGAGATTTATGGAACCACTAAATAAGTATTTGATGACAAAATATGCATATAACTATTAAAGACACGTCTATAGATAAATGAGCATTTTTAGCAAGGAAACCTGAGGAACAGAGGCTAATAGAAGTAAAGAGATGAAGCTCTAGCTCTTATTAACAAATTGGAAATAAATAAGCTTGTCAGGTCCAGACAACATTCATCAAAGAGAACTTTTAACATTCAAATGTGCAGTGACTAACCTGACACTCTAAACATGTACAAATGTTCATATAATCCTGCAGATTAAAAAGGGGACCAATATAAGATTTTTAAAATTAGGGTTCAGGGAAATCCAATCAATTACAGTTTGAAATCTGTTCCAATTAAATTCATGGAAAATATTGTCAAATACAGTATCAACAAATATACGGAAGGACAAGTCTTGCCAGAGAAACAGCAGCACGGCTTCGGCGAAGTTAAGGTTTAATTCGAATCACTTAGAATTCTTTGAG